GGATTGCAAGAGAGCAACTCAGTCGGATTATGGAACACCATTGGATGGCTTTCAAGTAGGCGGCTCTTTTTTTCGCACTGTTTACAAGGATGGGATGGATCCAAGCTGGAAAACATGCCTTTTAAAGGGGTGACGTTCTTTACTGAACGGTTTTTTAGCCAAAGAAGTGAAGAAGATCCGTTAGCTGCAACAAAGACAGGGCGGTTTCAGGGCGGAACCAAAGTCCTCGGGGGCGAGGAGCATGGGGAGCGGGAGGGAAGACATTCCGTGACGGACATGGTCCGCTCGACTCGTTTTCTCCGACGGATCTCCACGAGTAACTGGGTAAGAGGGAACTGCGACGGGCTCCCGTTATAGCTCGGTGGGGGGGGGCGTTGCTTCTACCTAGCCAGTGCGATGAATTCCTTATCTCTTGCACCACAACGGGGAAGGGCAAGCGGGAGAGAAAGGCACAAAACTGGAGGAACGGAGAGAGTAACGTCGTTACAGCAGGTGCTAGGATAGCGACGTTATATAGTATCCGAGTAGTTCGCGGTGTTCACGGGCTGGCGCGTTTCGCGCACGGTATTGCCAGGTGACGTGTAACGTAATTCGGAACCGTTACTTCCGATCTAGAGAGCTTGGAATGGTGCTTTTGGAATAGTTCGTTACCCTTGCAGCTCTGCATCTGAGAATACATAGTTACCGGCGCAGCTTCGATAACTTTTAAAACTCTGAACATCACATGCCGGCTGGCTAAACTATTTAGCACACTTTCTGCCCAGCTGGCCCTCAGAGCTCAAGACAGGATTTGGACCAGATGGTCGTTCTTCTCCAGGCCACACAGCTGTAACTATAAAAATAGTATTGTCATAGGGCAAAAAAGGAAATGATCCCTTTTAAAGTTACAGTATAATAGAAATATAATAGTTAAAACTTCTATATAACTCACTATTTAAAGTAGTGACTTCTCATGACCCAATATGGTTTATCTTGCCAGGCAAGAAGACAGCCTTTGCTATTATCTAACAGTTCATGTAGAGATGTAACTGGTTCATTCTTGCATGGTGGATGCAGTGAAGTCAGAACTTTTCTTATTCTTGTGAGACCGGGTGTTTTTTTTTTTCTGATCACGGGGAGGTTTTGCATATTTTCAAGAATGATTTTTGTACAAAATTGGAAACTGTGGGCTTCTCTGCACCCCTGGGTTGGAGCAGATTGGAGCAAGCTAAATAGGGACTCTGGGAGAACCAGGCATGCCATTGATGCAATCCCCAAAGGACATACAGACCTCAAGTCACCCTGTTTGATCTGTTTTTTTTTAAAAGCTATGTGTATTAGCTATGTTGTATTAATGTGCATTACAAGTGATCTTTAAGAGATCTGTATTGATTGTTCTGAATTTACAACTCATCTTGATGCGAGATTTACTTCTAAAAGTCTGGTCAAGAGCCTGTGGCAGCCTATTACACAATACATAAATAGATGTCTCTCCCTTATCTTAAAGGGCCAGTCCAGAAAACCTCCACAGTTGCAAGCCATTTCTTGACTGACTGTTTAAGACAAGAGAAAGAAAAGGTGTTTCAAGATGGCCTTAAGCAAGTCACTGTTACCCTTAATTGCAATACGGCAATAAAGCTGATCTTGCTGAAGATTCAGTCCTGCAGATATTACCTAGGAGGGAGCCCCATTGAGCTTAGTGGGGCTTACGTCTGAGTAAACATACATAGGATTCGAGTGCATATGTGTTAAGCTGTGGATGGCAATGTTTCATTTTGTGTTTCTAGGTGAATGGTAATGTAAGAACTTGAAGATTGTAGATACGCTTGTATTGCCAGTGTTCATAATGGAAGAGGTAAGGATGGATTATTGTGTGTTCTTCTCTGCTTACTGAAACAGGAATGGGTGGCCATATTTGGGGGCTTCTGTACCTTTAATTGCTGGATACAAGAGGGATATTTTGTGAAGCGTAGCTTGTCATCTCACAGCTCATGGTGGTTGAAAGATTGTCTCTCCATTTGTGCATTAATAAAGACAAAGAAACTGTCCAGAATCTTGTTATGTATTTATGTTGGTGTATACATTAAAGGAACATACATAAAACGAACACAGAGATTGTGGTTGGCTGGCAAGAAATTGTGTTCCATACAGCTTGCTCTGCTTGTGTATCTTGAAAGCAGGGTATGGTCTACACAATTTATACTCATCATCACATACCTTACCACGTTTGTGTACATGTGAATGCTGAGCTCTTCTTGGCTGTTTTTTTTTTCAAAAAACGATTTGTACTTCTGCAAATCTTGACTTTTCCAAGCACATCACTAATGCATCTTGCTTCTTAGTGACCCTTAGTATTTAATTCATTTTAATACTTTTATTCCTTGATCTGTTCTTAGTGATGCTATTAACCATCACTAGTGCTTTTTGTTGTTACTGCTGTTGTGGAAAATCAAGATAAAGGTGATGATGGGGTGGTTATTATTAATAACCGTCACCATGCTCTCTCTATGTGCTTTCCATTGATCCAGGCTCCCAAACCGACCCTCCAGGATGAACTAGAATGGTGCATTTCTCAACTGGAGACTGGCCTCTTGCGTCTGCACCCAACCCCCAAGCAAGGTATCTTCGTTCTTTTCTCCCAAAGAACCTCAAGTCTCATCCAGTCGCATTTCTAACCCAACATGGTTCCGAGCAATCAATAGATTCTGTGTAATCCTTCTGACCAACCATGATATGTTTTTGCTAGGACAACTTTCCTTTCCCTTGAGGAAAATCTCCTCTCTTCAGCTTTATGCTTGGTGGGGACACATGGACGAGGTGCAATCTCCCTACAAAAGCTGATAGGTGTATCAGCGTATCAGGTCTGGTACACCATCCTTTGGTCCTTTTCTCTTGGCTTTCCCCAGGAACAGGAGTTAGTTAAGTATTCAAGAGGAAGGTTTTATAATGTATTTTCAGTTGGGAGAGACATGTAGGAAATGTATGAATGGAACTCTAGCTCAGATGCTAACAATTCACAAATTCTCGTGATGGAGCAAATCATGATCTCAAAAGACTCAGGTTCCTGTCAGTAATGTAAGATCATTATTGACCTTCACGGCATGCTGCGAGGGAGAGAGAAAAGAGGATTGTAAAATGCTTTGCAGATTAATGAATAAATTTATGGTATCATGGCAGTGGTATCATCTGCCGCCTACCCAATGCACAAACTCAAATCAAATAATTTATTGTCATTGTAAGTATATACATAGTATACCCATACAATGAAATTCACACAGACACCCAGAAACCAGACCCACATGGACACACATAAAAATTCCCCAAACACTCCCCACCCATTCAAAATCCCCCACTAGGAATACAAACATCTACACCGCAGGCTAAGTAACACTGTCCAATTAACTATCCACTACTGGTGGTCTTTAAGCTCTGTTATTAAGTGCAATTATAGCTCTGGGATAAAAACTATTCAACTTCTTGTTTTCTTACAACGCGGGAAAGCAGCAGAGGAGACCCGGCGCATTCTTGGCGTCCTGCGCTCACGCAAGGCTCCTCTTGTGAAAAAGCGGCAGGTGATGAATCGTGTCTTTGGAAACTATCGGCTCAAGATGGCAGAGGAAAGAAAGAGAGCAGCAAAACCAGGTGAGAACACAAGCTCTGCTAGAAATCCGGAAAAAGTATTGGTGCAATTCATGTTGAAGACAGTGCGCACTTCTGCATAGTCCTTGTCATTTTTGTGGACTAGGGTGGAAATGATCTCCGTACACTGAGGACATGTATCTTAGTAGAACACATTCTTTCTGTTCTTTTCCTACAGCTGTGAAACCTAAGGAAGTAGAAATAAAACTAGGAGATCCTTCAGCTGGTGTGGTCTACAGGAAGCAATCCAGCCAGCCCTCTGTGTCGTCGACGTCATGGTTTGTCCCATCGGATAACAGCTTTCAGTTTGATTTTGTGCTTTTGGAGAGAGGATCGGAGGAAATTGCTGAAACTACTGCAGGAGCCGAAGAAATAGGTAACTCCAGGACGCAGCCAGATGCCAGTGATCCCTTTGGAAGGCTGGACTTCTCCACTGCAAGCCCGGGGAGCAAATTTGCTTTCAACTTTGCCATCTTAGATGTTCCTCCACTTCCGTCTGATGCTGCAGATCCAGCTTCAGAAGCTGGAGCAGAAGCAGGCGTTGACTCCCCAGGCACAAAAACTGTGATGACGCCAGATACGTCAACAGTTCTGAAATCTGATTCTTTAAGCGTGACGGACGATGTACATAGAATAAATCAAGATTACCTGATGCAAGAGGCCCCTAAACTGGCAGTCACCCAAGTAGGTATGGAGATTCTGGCATCAAGTCCTAATTCTATATTAGAAGTAGATCTGTGCCTATTAGCCTGTGGCAAGTTGAGAATTTGGTGGAGGAAAGGATTCCATCACAGAAGAAAACGGTGGTGGTGAACCAGGTAACCTGCAGTTGACTTCCATAGGTGTGCTTAGGCAGGCTTAATATTTGTGGGTCAATAAGGTTGTATGGAAGACTAGCTTAAGCCCATAAGTGAAGGACAGGTAGCCCTTCAGATAGTGTTAGACTAAAACTCCGAGCATCATTCACTTTTGGCTGTGTCGCACATAACGTTTGGGACTAGGGATCTAGCCCTTCTTTTAGTTGGCGGGCGAATTGTCCTGCTCTGCGGGTTGGCTTGAGGAGAGACTATTGTCTTTCCTCAAAGCCACGTTCGATTTTGCAGCAGTCTGCTAGCCAGGCTGAAAGATAAGCAATCTGTGGATAAGCAGAAGCGCCATCGAAGGCCAAAAGGCAGGCCTTTACTGGGGAACAACCATGAAGCAGAGCTAAGGTCCAAGGATGTTGAGCAAATGAAGGGTTCAGAACTAACTGCAATCTAATTGCGACTGCAAAATTGTTGCTTCTGGAGAAGGAACTCTGACTGGGGCAGTTATTTTACAGTGCTTCTTCTGAACTCTGCTTCCGCTGCCAAAAGGGGAGGGAGGGGAAGCAAAGTGTGCTGCTTATATGCCACCCATTGTGCTTAAAGTACTCTCTGGGTAGTTTATAATTTATTTATGCAGGCTACATGTTGCCTCACAGCAAGCTGAGTACTAATTTTACCAACCTCAGAAGGATGGAGGGCTGAGTGAACCTCGAGCCCTCTACCTGGGATTAAACCTGGGTCGAGTTTTGGCTGCCATACCGCAGTTTAACCACTGCGACAGGAGGCTCTTGCATCCCCTTCAACTGCAGGTGTCAGAGCTCTCCCTGGGCAGCTCCCGCTGGCTCTGTGTTTTCGTTCCAAAACCAGAAGCCAATTTTTTGGGGGGGGGGGTGTCTGTCCTCTGCCTTGCCCTTTCCCTCCTGTGGCTGAGGATCTGCTCCTTTCTCCTCTGACTGGTCTGACTCCACCACCTCCTCTCCTTCTAAGAATCTTTGGCCAGGTAGAGGAAGGTAATGAATGAATGAATTAAACGAGTTGTTTTACTCGGAAGAATGTTTTTACTGATACAGACAAGCTTTTAATCAATGAGACTGAGTGCTAACCGCTGATGTTGGTGGAGACTCATTACTTTCCTGTTCATTCTTCTCATGAAAACTGCTAACTTTTGCTCATTGAGTCTGTAAAAGGTTATCTTAACTGATGGTATTTCAGAGAGGTATCTAGAAATAGGAAGATTTTTTAAAGGCTATTAAAAGCTTTAGTCAATGAAATCTATTAAATCTGCATGTGAGGGAAACCATTATTTTAAAAGCAAAAACTGCTTGAGTTGCTGCCCAGAAATCAGGTTTTTTATATACAGTGGTGCCTCACTTAACGACGATAATCCGTTCCAGGAAAATTGCTGTTAAGCGAAAACATCGTAAAGCGAAATTAAAAAGCCAATTGAAACACATTGAAAACCATTCAATGCATTCCAGTGGGCTGAAAACTCACCGTCCAGTGAAGATCCTCCATACGGTGGCCATTTTTTGTGTCTATATAGCGAGGAATCCATCCCTAAGCAGAGCGGGGAGCCATTTTGAAAACCCGACAGTCAGCTGTTTTTGATCATCGTAAAGTGAAAATCGGTTCCTGAAGCAGGGAACCAATCATCGCTAAGCGAAACTCCCCCATTTAGACCATCATTTTGCGATCGCAAAAACATCATCGTAAAGCGGATTCATCGTAATGCGGGGCAATCAAGTGGGGCACGACTGTATGCCATTCTTCATCTTCTCTTCCCAAGCGAAATTCCCCCATTTAGACCATCGTTTTGCGATCGCAAAAACATTGTCGTAAAGCAGATTCGTCATAATGCGGGGCAGTCATTAAGTGGGGCACGACTGTATGCCATTCTTCCTCTTCTCTTCCTGGAGTGAACACTGGGGAAGTAGTAGGTGCAAACATATGTCAATGAAATTGGTTAGAAAGGGGTGATTAAATAAAATTTTATTTAATCTGTCTGCAGACCTGGAGGAGAGTAAAGAAACAAAGCTAGCAGCAGTAGCAGCAACAGGTACTTCATTCAAGAAGAAAAGGAAAAAGAAACAACTGCCTGCCAAGGTGTCGCCCAGTGGGAGCGTAAATGGAGGCTGCAAATCTAATGGCAAAGACACATCAGACGAAACTGAGACATGTCAGGTGTGTGAAAGCTGCTGTGAACATAGGATATGGCTAATTCTCCGTGTTCTAATATTGTTTCAGCCTGTTTTTTTTTAACTACATACCTCACCTTGTTGCCCTATAAGATACCAGAACAGCTTACAAAAGGTAAATAGCCTGGCAGTTCATTGTGCCAAGGCTTACAGTTTAAATTCAAAGCATAATATAGAAGGAGAAAGGGAAGCTGGGGGAGGTTCAGATAATTTTCAGAATGATTAACTGGACAGAAACAGTCCTTGTGGAGGAGGAAGCAGATGGCGGTGGTAGATGGTTCCTTATTTATTTACAGTACGACCCCCATATCTGGTGGGGATTCGTTCCAAGTCCCCCACATGGACACTAAAAACCGTGGATAATAGTGAACACTATAGAGTGGTGCCTCGCTTGACGATGCTAATTCGTTCCAGCGAAATCGCTGTAAAGTGAAAACATCGTCAAACGAAACAAAAAAAAACATTGAAACGCATTGAAAACCTGCCTGCCTCTGAGTGGGCATCGCGAACCACCAAACCAGGAATTTGTGCCCATCTCTACTCCTAAACCATTAAGGGCTTTATAAGCTAGGACCAACACCTTAAATGGAGCATGGAAACTAACAGGGAACCCATAAAGGCATGCCAAGACTGGAGAATATGACTTACGGCAACCTTTGTAGGGTTTCTTAAGGTAGAAAGTACTAAGAAGGGGTTTACCACTCCCTCCTTCTGTTGGAAGTCTGAACCTATGCAACTGGTAGCTATGGTCATGTCTTCCTGATGTTTGGTAAAGCGAATTTTATTTAATATCCGTTTTAGTGCCTTTGAAACATGTTTTAACAATTATTTTTAATATCCTTTAAAGATCGTTGTAAATATTTAATATGTAAATCCCTCCCGTCACCGCTTGATTTCCATTTTCCCATCTTGAATGATACTGTATTTGTTGTTAAATTGTTGTTTGATATATTAGATCGCTTTTAGTCTTTTTTTATTGTTAACCACCCAGAGTAGACGTTGTCTAAATGGGCAGGATATAAATTCAATAATAAATAAAATAAATATGACTAGTCGGTTCTTTTGGTAACAACCGGTTATTTTTTAATCCAAATGAAATGGTTTTAATTGTCTTTATTTGGTAAGGATGGTGTTACGTTTTTATTTTTCTTGTTCGGGTTGAGTTCTTTATTGTTTGCAGTTTGATTGTTTAGGTTTAATTTTGGTTTAAGGTTAATTATTGTGTGTCACCTGGAGAACTCTCTGGTCGAGCAGTTCACAAATGGCACACAAATGAATCGAATGGCACGAGGAGGCAACATTGGCGCAAGTACCCGTTTGGCAGTGGCGGTCTCAGTCTGTCCTTGTTTCCCTGTAATAGCCAGATGAGCAGTTGAAGAAAGAGGTGGACTGGTGTGTGGAACAGCTGGAGCTTGGTTTGAAGACACGGAAATCAACTCCCAAGCAGAGTAAGTTCTATTTGCCGAGGAGGTTCGGAATGGGAGAACAGACAGCTGGGAAATGCTCTGTCTAATAACTGCAAAGAATCTTGCTGTTACCCTAGTGTAGGAAGCCAGGGACTTCTAGGTGCCGATGGAGCCCTCTTAGGATCCTTTCTGATTCTCCTGCAAAGAGACGGTATCTCCCTTCATGAGCCTGCTCAGGTGTTAAGATCATCAGGGAAGGCCTTCTTCTCGGTCCCTTCACCTTCACAGGTGCATCTGGTGGGGACACAGGAGAGGGCCTTCTCTGTGGCTGCTCCCGGACTCTGGAACTCCCTCCCACTGGAGGCCAGCTTGGCCCCATCTTCGCTCTCCTTCCCCAAGCAAGCAAAGAACTTTCTCTTCAGGCAGGCTTTCTTAGGAGAAAGATAGCTAAATGTGTGTGGTTTTAAAAAAAACATAAATAAATTAATTCCCAGGAATGGCTGTGTTCCTTTGCCCTGACACAGCCATTGAGCAGTTTCTACGCTTTGGAAACGTGGCTACTATATTGAGAAAAATGTTTTTCACCAGTTGATGCAGAAAGGCTTTCTTTGTGGATTTCAGTGGTTTTGTACTGCTTTTTAACTCAATATTGTTTTAGTATTATAGCATTATCTGTGGGATTGGTACCTGTGGTTTCACTTATCTGGTGCCTCTGTGTGGTGGGGGGAATTAACCCCCATACATATTCCCAAGGTGTATTATCAGAATTGACCACTAGATGGAACCAGAGACTGTGCTATAAGCAGGTGACATAATGTGACCTGAGGGAAGCACCTCTTTTTGGGGGTGATATTTGTGCCAGATCTTTTGTCTGTTTTTGTCTCTTCATCTTTTGGTCTCACTGCTGGGCAAAAAGGAGGATAGACGTCAAATGAATAAAATGTGCTTTGTTTCAGGGGAGGAGGCGCTCAGGGCTCTCAAGATCTTGCGCAGCGAGAAGACCGGGCTGCCCAAAAAGCGGCAGCTAATGCGAGCCACGTTCGGCGACTATAGAGCCAAAATGGCAGAGGAAAGAGAGAAGCAGCTGAAGCTCATGCAAGCAGGTAGAGGTCTGCAGACCGCCCAGCTCCCTTGGGTTCCTCTTTCTCTCTCCGTTTTTTTTCTGATCAGGCCACTCATTCAAAGTATAGTGGTGCCTCGCTAGACGATGATAATCCGTTCCACTGAAATCGCTGTCTAGCAAAATCATTGTCTAGCAAAAATCGGTTTGCAAAGTAGGGGCCAAACATTGTCCAGCGAAATTCCCCCATAGGAATCACTGTTTTGCGAATCTCTATAGCAATCGCAAAAAGTCAATGTCTAGCGAAAAAACTGTCATGCGGGGTAACTGTCTAGCGAGGCACCACGTACTCAGAACTTCCAAGTCTGGCCCTGGAGTTTGCTTGCATTTTCTCCTTTGGTGTTTGCCTTTTAGATATTAAACCTGCAAGCTGCAACTATCTCATCCTCAACAGATCTCTTGTTCACCCTCTCTCCGAGTTCCCTCTCAGTTGCTGGGGTTGGCTGTTGTGACGTCCACCCTCGAGCCACTTTTGCTTGACCTTCAAGCCTCAGAGCACACGAAGGCAAACACTCTCCTCTTTAACGCTGCTGCCACCAGGTGATCCCTAAATCACCATTACCTCAGAAAGATTCAGGTCCACTCTTCAAGTTCCTTTAAATAAAACTTTGGTTTATTGATTACAGAGATTGATTCATGAATATCTTCAGTAACTAATCACACCTCAGAATTTCCCAAAGTACATACAATGGTGCCCCGCATAGCGAGGTTAATCCGTTCCGGATTAACCGTCGCTATGGGGAAACATCGCTATACGGAACAGAAAACGCCATAGAAACGCATTAAACTTAGTTTAATGCGTTCCTATGGCTCTTAAACTCACCGTTCTGCGAAGTTTCTCCATAGCGCCGCCATTTTCGCGCCCTCGGTAAGCAAGGGCAGGGCGCGAAAATGGTGCGGGCGGCCATTTTCTGCACACGGCGGCCATTTTGGGAACAGCTGATCGGTGGTTCCAAAATGGCCGCCGTGTGCAGAAATGATCGCAATGCGATGTTTAGCCTATCTAAACATCGCAATGCGATCGCATTAGCGACTGCAAAAAACGGGTCGCTATGCGGATTTTTCGTTAAACGGTGCGCTCATTAAGCGAGGCACCACTGTAATCTATTACTCTCTCTGACTTTTTTCTCTACTGCCTGCCCCTTACATTTCTCTCACCTACTCAATCTACCCCTTGACCCTCTGCCTCTTATAGCATCTCTCTTGGCTCCACCTCTCAGCAACATTAATATGCATGAACCATTACATTACATAACAAACATGAACCATTACATAATATAACATGAACCATAGACCTAACAAATAGGGAACGCTACAGCTGTCATTCATTCATTAGATAAAAGGAACCCAGATTGTCGTAGCTTTATCTGCTTTTTCAAATCCGTTTCTCTTCTGAGTTTATGTGGTAGGTTTCATCAGGAAGGCAGCTCACTAGACTCTGCTGAATCCTGCTGAACCAAGTTTAAACACTAAATCTGTCCAGGGATTTCCATCTGCGTTCTATTTCCTAACTTGTAGATGCACCAAGCCGGGAAATAAGATGCTTGCTTTGTAAATATTCGTTATTCTTAGTAAAAGCAGGCAGTACTGACGGTGCATTACCTTTCTTTCTGCTTTGTTTCATAATTTTAGAAATTAGGTCTATGATACTATCCCCAAAGGTGGACACTTGGGACAATCCTCCAGATGGGCAGTGGCCGACCCCGCTTATCGGAGTGGGGGGGACACCCTGATGCAGCTCTAGATAGCTTTATAGGGCGGAGGTGCCCTAATCTGGGGTGTGTTTTCAGCCGGTTGTCTTTGAATGCTGTTTTTTTTGTCCGAAAGCCTGGGGGGTGATGTGACCAAATCTTAGGCCTCTACTCATGAGAAAGATCGGGTTGCAGTCCAAGTCCCCATGCTAATCCAGAAACAGCTGAAGCCAGAATATGGTGAGTCTATGAGCCAGCTATAAATCTTAAGAGACCTGACCTTTTATGCTGCTGGTTGACATTACATAGAAATTTTCAAAGGCAACGAGGGCTCTTATCTTTTTAGTTCCCCACCACCCCCACAAAAAATAAAACCAAATTATCCTAGAATCCATCTGTTTGGAGCCCTTGAGGTTTTTCTAATGGTTAGTCCCCACAGTGGAGTTTCCTCTAATAAAAAGGTCTCTACCATGAAAAATGCCCTTTTATTTCCAGTTTTTTTTAACTGGTTGGTTTTGTCTGTAGAATAAAAAATCAGGGCATGCAAAGAGAGAGGGCTTGGGGATTCTGGGAGCTGCAGTTTGAAAAAGTAACTTTTCAACACTGTGAACTCATTGAAGCTGCTTTGGATGGGAGCCTGTTCAGCCAAAGAGGCTTTCAAGTTTTTAAAAAGTAGCTGTTTTTTTTTTTTTATTCTGGCTAATATTGGGCACTATAGGTGAAAATTCATGTGAAGGGATCTTTCCAGGCTTAAGCATGTTGCTTATATAGCACCCCATAGAGCTTAAAGCACTCTCTGGGCGATTAATGATTTAATTAAATAAATAAATTATGCAGACTGTGCATCTCCCCCCCCCCCAATGAGCTGGGTACTCAATTTATCGACCTCGGAAGGATGGAAGGCTGAGTGAACCTTGAGCTGGTTACCTGGGATTGAACCCCAGGTCACGAGCAGCGTTTTGGCTGCAGTACAGTACTGCAATTTAACCACTGTGCCGCAAGGCGAATGGAACATTTTCACAGGTATAGGAATGTGAGAGGAAAGCTTGCAGATATAATCGGTAGGTCCTTGCTTAGTGGTGCCATTAATGTTTCAGACTTTTTTTTGCATTATATAGGTTGTAGTGGATGATTTACTATAATCACTAATATTGTAGTCTGTTTTCATGATCTTCTGTTTTTTTTTGGTATGTTCTACAATCATAACAATTTGATGTTACTTGGTGGTGTTTTTTTCCAATTTGCATCTATCGGTGTTGTTTTTATCATTTTATAAATTATTTTGAGCCATTGCCAGGAAGTGTGCAAATTTAAATAAAAAGGGAATCTCCTGCAGATCTTTGCTTTGTGGTTTGGTTCTGCTCAGTCAGGATTCCAGTCATCTCATCTCATTTCCTTTATTCAAATCCTTTCCCTTTCCTTCCCTTTCCAGCAGTTATTTGGTATTCTGTGCTCACTGGTCATGCTCAGTTCTCGTTGGGCTCTTTAATCTCCCTGTACAACAACTTGGGTTGTTTTCTGTTTTGTTTCTATGGGGGAATGCTCGACTTCCCCTTTGATTTCTTTGGACAGTGCTAACTTCCGTCTCTGAAAACAATACCCAAAAAAGAGAGAGAGACATGCGAACAACTGAACAATTCTGCCTATGTTTTTTATACTTGTTTGCCCATCCTTTTCTTTAAACCATCCCAGAGTTTTAATCTTTTTCACCACCATTGATTCTTCTCGGGTCATTTTGTGTGGCCTTCCAGGCTCTGTTAGAAAGCAGCCTTCACTGCTTGCTATTCTCGTTGCGGTTGATTGAAACTGTCATCTAATGGCATCTGGAGGACCACACTTTCGCCAACACTGGTAGTCAGAACCACCGATATCACAAAGCCGTTGATGTCTCTTTGAAACAAAGCAAAACAGTGCTGTTTATGAATGCTTTTTCCACTTGGAAGGAGCATTCGGAGGGCTTTCTCTCCAACCAAAGGCTGTAGGTTCTCCAAATACGGCCTCTCAGCTTTCACATACATAGTCACCTGTCCACTGTTAGCCAAACGGGTCAGCATAGCAGAAGACGGCCAGAGAGACAGCTTGGCACGCCAAGTTCAGAAGTGTTGTGTTTCTTTGTTTCTTTCTTCAATTCCCAGAATCCTGCGCGAGGTTTATTTTTATGAAAATGCCACACAGGGTGGGGGATCCTGGGAAGCGTACTCAAAAAGCTCCAAGCTCTGTGAGTGTTGGGGCATGTTCATAGGGTCAGAGTTTATTACATTTATCCTTTCATTCTCTCCTTCCTCCCCCGCAAGCTTCAAAGGCTGCCCGTATCGCAGAGGTGACTGAACAAGCGTGCCGGAAAAAGAGCCAAGTATTCCGGACGTCTGCAGAGAAGGCACGAAGCGTTAAGAGTCCTGCAGAAGACTTTCAGCGCTCTTCCTCCTCCTCAGCTGATCCGGGGACCACAGATCCTTTTCAGTCTTTTCGGTTCATATCTTCCCAAGAAGAATTCTGCTTTAATTTTTTTTAAGAAAGCTTTCTGCACCTCTGCAGATTTGATGCTGTGTGGGTGATGGTTTACAAGCCAGCCAAAAACTTAAGGGCAGAATGGCTTGAAACAATGCACGGGTACATACTCCAGAAGCTTGTCAAGAGTGCCTTAGGGGAACAGAGATGGACAAATCGTGTGTATATCATATACTATATGTTGCCCTTCATGACTCCAACGATAACTTTGTGTGGGAAAAGGGGTGCCCTCTGTTGTTTCCTTGTTTAAATCTACAAGAGAGCCAATTAAAACAGTGTAAATAATTCAGAGGGAAGGGGAAGGAAAATGACAATTAGCAAAAGTATTCAGCTTCTGAGGGGAAATGGGCAATAAAATAAAACAGAGGCATGTAGAACATTCAGCATAACTGTATGCCTTATTAGTGATGGCCTCTGTTCTGAAACAGACACAAAGACTGCCAGGTGACCAGAAAACATCAAGAATGGGGTTGATCCTTCTGCCTTTGGAAACCGCTTGATCCACAAAAATTGAGACACAGAGGTGTCATGCAGTGTTGAAGAGTGTTGGACTGGGGATTAGAAGATCAGAGTCCCCACTCAGTCATGAAACTCTGAGTGACTCCCTTTTTCTCTAACTGACCCATCTCACTCAATTACTGTGAGCCTTAAGTGAGGAGAGGAGAGACAGTGGTTGTCCCCTGGAGCTCATTCAGGGAATGAATGAAAGTAATATACAGGTTGCAAAGTTGCGCGGTTAAAAGTAATTTGGTTGTTGTGGGTTTTTCGGGATTTCCTACTCCAGTCCTCTGAAGATGCCGGCCACAGAGACTGGCGAAACGTTAGGAAGAACAACCTTCAGAACACGGCCAAAGAGCCCGAAAAAGCCACAACAACCGTCAGATCCCGGCCGTGAAAGCCTTCGCGAACACATTAAAAGTAATTTGTTCCTCTTTGTCTTAATCTGAAGCCTGTTCCAATCAGTGACTCTGTCCCTCAGATTTGGCAGTAGCAGAGAAAAATGCAGATCTCTCGGAAGCATTAATTAGATACAGGAGATGAAACAAAGGGAAGCTGTTTCTCAAATGCGTTTGTTGTTGGGAGGCCCCGCTTCTCCAGCCCCGATTCTTGCAGGTGCCTGCGCACGCTCAACCCTGTGATGAAGGCCCAAAGATACTGTTGTAAACCGGGAGGTTTTATATGATCTCCAAAGGGTATTTCCGGAAAGGAAAGCACCAGTTCTCAGCTAAAATGTGCGCTGTGTATGCCTGAGTGTAAAATAAACCATGTTTGGAAGTGTGGCTGTTTATTTCTAATCGGTGCTGAAAGCATGAGAGACAGTGATATGGCATTCGTGAACAGTACATCCTTTGTTTTGATTCTTGTCACTTCTTACTGTTTCTGCAGTCATCCTATCATTACGCACCACGGTAATGATAAGATGCCTATACAGGCAGCAGGAAGTTCTATAATCTGTAAAACTGGATTCTTGCATTGTTTGTTGTGTTCCTTGGTACCATTTGTATTAATAATAATGAGTGGGATGGACGGCTCAGTAAGTTGAGGTTCCTGGCTGTGGGGCCAGGTTTGGGGAGTTCAGAACTACCTTTGGGCAAGCTGTGCAGCCCTGGAGGCACCCCCAGAAGGTGAAATTGGCAAACCACTGCTGAGTATTCTATACCTAAGAAACTCTGGAAAAGTCACCCAAAGTCAGAATTGACCGGACAATACATAATCATTGTACTGTGTATCAATAGAAATGACCCTTGCTAATTTGTACACAAGTTAATGGTAATTACTAAGGACGTGGTGGCGCTGTGGGCTAAACCACAGAAGCCTCTGTGCTGCAAGGTCAGAAGACCAGCCGTCGTAAGATCAAATCCACACGAGGGAATGAGCGTCCATTACTTGTCCCAGCTCCGGCCAACCTAGCCGTTCGAAAGCATGCAAATACAAGTAGATAAATAGGTACCACCTCGGTGGGAAGGGCACGTCATTCCGTGTCTAGTTGCACTGGCCACATGACCACGGAAAGCAATGTGTTGCGGTTTTTGACTAAAATGACTATTGTTAATTAAGATTTTCCCCCCCAAAAAAGTTTGATGTACAGTGGTGCCTCACTAGACGATGATAATCCATTCCACTGAAATCACTGTTTAGCGAAATCATTGTCTAGCGAAAAGCATTTCCCCATTGGAATGCGTTGAAACCTGCTTAATGCGTTCCAATGGGGAAGAATCGTCGTTGTCTAGTGAAGATCGGCCATAGGAAAGCCGCTTTGCGAACCGTCGATCAGCTGTTTAAATCGCTGTCTTGCGAAGCTTAGTTCCCGAAAACACCTGTTTTGCAAGCGCAGAGGGAGCTGTCAAAATCTCCATCTAGCGAAAATCGGTTTGCGAAGCATGGACCAAACATTGTCCAGCAAAATTCCCCCATAGGAATCACTGTTTTGCGAATCGCTATAGCGACCGCAAAAAGTCAATGTCTAGCGAAAAAGCTGTCATCCGGGGTAACTGTCTAGCGAGGCACCACTGTATTTATTTATTTAGTAAATCCCATACTCTTTGCCAATGGGTCCTCATGGCAACAGTCAAACAGAATATTATTACTGTATTTATTTCACCTTGCCACCAGTCAGCTCAATCCCAAGGTATGGTCATGGATCTCCTCATTGTATCCTTACAAAAACCCTGTGGAGTAGAATGAACTGACTGACTTCTGTTAAAAGCACAAGACATAAGCAAACGGTTTAGTTTGTGAACCCAAGTCTTTTCTTAACTGTAGTTATTGTTCTGCGCTATCAAGTCAGAATTGACTTTTAGGGACCATAAAAGGACTTTCAAAGTAAGTGGGGTATTTAAGGAGGGGTTTTTCTCAGTTGCATCTCTCCCAGTGAATTTCCATGGCCAAGCAGGGAATCAAACCCTAGTCTCCCGAGTATTAGACTGTCACTCTATCCACCACACCACATTACTGCATTTTTCTCTCAATTACTGGATTAACAAAAGTTCCATACAGCTGATTGTCTTCATTAATATATTCATTCCTTAGAGCAATTTTGTTACCCTGAAGAACCACGAGGGTACTCAGATTTTTTCCCCCCAACCATATATGGGGAGACATCTCAAGTGTCAAATTTCTTCCAGGTATTTATGTTTCAATCCTTCCTTGCAGAATCAAGTTCGTCGTGGACTAGGGAATAGGAGTGTTTAATTGAGCATGAAGGAGACTTGGTTTGAAGAACGAACCTTTCCAGAACTGCTAGAACCGGTCGCCCCAAAGGAGATGAAGAGACGGCAGGTAGCTGGATGCAACTTCTTCCCCTTTTTAGGCGCTGGCATTCTCGACTGTAACCAAAAACCCCTGGCAGGAGCTACAAAAGGCATGCCAGGATCGTCCGGACCTTGGCTGGAAGGTATAAGGAGAACGCCGGACCAGCAGCCAAGCCTTCTCCGCTCACTTTTTGGCTCCCTGCCCCCATACTGGCCCTTCCCTACACCCCCCCCCTGCAAACAGACATGCTGTATTCCCAACTCCCTCTTTTAGGATTGGTTAAAGGTGGGGCTGACGGTTGACTTTCTATTGGTCTCTGATCTGTTAACTCATATATGGAGAAGCCAGTGGGTAGATCTGAAAGAAGGGAGCAGGTATGCAATAAAGCCTTGCGAAGAGGTGTGATGACTTGAACAAGCCCGGAGAAGGTCTGCTTGTGAAGGAGCATCACATCCAGCCCACCAGAATCACCGGACATCGGTCCGAACCAACCGCTGTGGACGAATTGAGAGAGTGAGGAAAATTCAGGCTTTCTGCTTTGTCGTTAACGGTTTTGCTTACAAAAGGAATGGAGGGGAAAAGTCTGTAATCTTGGCAAGCAGCTCTTGAAAACCATTTGTATTTTAATGTGTAACTGTCCAGAATTTTAAAACGCTACCGAGCAAACACTAAATGGCTGCTTATTTCTTTGATTTAAGGGTAGTCTAAACTGTATTAGAATATTCACCCCAGGTCTACGCGGTGTAACTTTAAAGGGGCTGTTAGAGTCCTGTGAAAGTACTGACCTTTGATTTTAACTTTTTAGGAGATCCCTAAAGCGAACTGTGAAAATAGCTTGTAAAATTTCAAACATTTGAACAATTCTGAATTCGGCGAATGTTTGGGCGGCGCTGAAGAACATATGGAGAAATAGCAGCATCGGCCGAGTCCAACTATTGTTATCTTTTGTTGTTGGTCACCTTGAACAAGTTTTTTTTTGGTGGAAGGGAAGAAAATAAATTTAGTGGCTAAGCAACAGCAAGTAGGAACCAAACTTAGGTAAAGATGGAAGGCTGAGCGCTCCTTTAATTCTGCCGGAAAACTCCTTTTTCAGAAGCAAACAAGAAGGAATTACTTCATAATCTCTTCCCTGCCCTTGATGGACCATTGTTGTGGTGGTGTTAATTGACCATTAGTGTGGAGGACCCTCCTTTTCAAATTCTAACTGAAGTACAGATTGTTGAGTTGGACTTGCCTTCTCTGTTGAAAATAATACATTGCTCCCTCCCTGTGGAAACGGAAAACTCTATTGATTTGGGCACCTGAAATTTGTACCCAGCCTCAGCTTATATCTCCTGTGGCAATATAACTAAAGGTACCCCCCTGAGTGTGATCGCCCAAGGGACCCAGGATGGAAGAGGTCTGGGCAGTCTACTTGTGCCTGTTCTTGTTTATCGTCATCCTTATTTTGATGAAGACGAAGCCAGATGATGATATCATAAAAGAAAAAGAGAAGGGAATTTCAAGCACCTCAAGCTCAAGCTCCTTCTCCTCTGGCACCTTGGGAAAACGCCTGGAGTGCACGGAGGAAGAACTGGAGGCCTCCCTGAGGCGGCTGAGCGGTGTTTTGTTCGGTTCGGACGCCCACAAGAGAGAGCCGCATCACGAACACCATCAGGTGAGCCAGAGCACAATTCCAGCCATCTAAGAACAAGGACGGGCAGAATTCAGGCTTATGGGTTGGTTCTCTCTGCAGGAATGCTCCCCCCCCCAATCTAACCTGCCCAGGCCCTAAGATTGGCCGGAGGGCATGGCTCACATCTGTTGGGTCAGCTGGCACGCGAGACAGTGTCTCCTTAAGAGGTGCCCTGGCCCAACATGGTTTGCTTTGCTCCCTACCTGGCTATGGGCAAAGGGGTCTTAGTCACCTCGTTGCTGTGGGCTTTTCTTCACTGATTTTAAAAACTAAATTCTAAAAAACACACAGTTTTCTACTGTTTTATTTTTTTTTTCTGGCTGTGCTTCCACAAATGCTGCTTTTATTAACCGTACAGTATTTTATTCTCTCTCTTCTTCCCCCCCCCCCAAAGTTTCATTCCCAGAACTTGGCAGAGGTTTTGCATGTATGTTTTTTAAAAAATAAATTAATAAAATATCTTGGTTTTGCTAGAATTGAGGGGGAGAAACAGCTCTTAAAGGCCAGACACCCGATTGGGGAGATGAAGCCAATTCTTTTTATCATCCTCCTGGCTGGTCCGGAATCTTTTCCTGCCTGAGACCAGATGGCACACAAGGGTCTCTTTCGTACATAACACTGGATTGGGGGTGGGTGGGAGGTAATTTTATTTCAGCACCAATGACGGGACACCGTCCTTCACCACATCTGAGGGCAGGAAGCTAGTTCAGTATGTAGAAAACAAGCCACGTGCCTCAAACGTGTGGAATGGCTGGTGACCTGAGGAGGTATATGTAAGGCTCTACCTCTGCCAACCCCCAGCCATCTGCCGCCTGAGGTCACCCTCTGCCTTGTGGCAGAACTGGCCCTGACCCCATGCACCACAGCTTGGAATAACCTGAATTTGCATGGACTGACCTGCATCTGTGTTACTACAAATCAGAAATGCTAACACAAAACTGTGCAATTGGCCAATAGAACTGTACACGGACCTGGTCAAAGGCCGCTAACGAATACTCTTATTTTGCAGGTGAGGAACACATGAGGCAGAACGATGAGAGTCACAAAAAAGCTCAGCTGCTTTCTTACTTGCCATTCACTTTGCTATTGTTAAATTACTGGAATTGTTCAGGAGCCTTGATCCTGTACAGATCTGTAAGATTTACCCATAGATTTCAATATTCCTTCTTTCCAACTTTGCTGTACAAAGACTCCAAAAGTATTTGAGACTCAGCAACACATGGCATCCTTTGGCTGCAGCCCTCCCCTGCTGAAATGGATATTGAGGGCATAAAGTTGGTGTGTGTATGTGTGTGTGTGTGTGTGTGGAATGAAAACCCTCCGTATCTGTTTCAGCATGATTTGATCATATGACCAGTAGACCCCTCTTGGGGTACAGCGAGTGGACTGCAAGATTAATTACCCCTTAAAATTGATTTCATTGCTCCCTGTAGCACAGCTAAGGAAATGGAGTATGTTTGTGTGCATACAACTGTTTGGATGTATGAGAGGAAAAAAGCAGGAATTATTGCCATCACTCTTCTCATGCCTTTACCTTCTGTTGAGGCTTATTGCAATTTGGAAGGGCACCCCAGTTTGAATCCAGTTTCCCACTGGCCCTTTGTGTATTACCTAAATGGTGGCATAAGTCCAACATCTACAAACCAGATTGGGTGCAAAATAATATTCTTATTTCAGAAGTGATCATTTAGCTTCTTTATAGTTCAAGTTTAAGTTTATTGTATTGGCTAAACGCCGTCACAATTGATTGAGATACAAATACGATCAAGTAAAATAGTGATAAAATCACAAAGATGTAAAATAATTCTTATTTCAGAAGTGATCTTTTAGCTTCTTTATAGTTCAAGTTTAAGTTTATTGTATTGGCTAAACGCCGTCACAATTGATTGAGATACAAATACGATCAAGTAAAATCATGATAAAATCACAGAGATGTAAAATAATAAGAGGCCTATCCACAGGAGAAAAGATTTTAAAAAAGGGGGGGACAGAGAATATCAAGGGTGTGAGTGCTCCTTCGTATCTGGGAAACCCCCGCACAATTGATTGCGGTGGCTTTCAGAAAATTAGCGTGGATGTTTCTGGCCATTTTTGCATACGCCGCTGTTCTGTATGTAACATATGGGTCACAGTCCGAAAGTTATATGTGAATGCATAAGTCCAACATCTACAAATCAAATTGGGTACATAATAATAATATTCTTATTTGAGAAGTGATCATTTTAGCTTATTTATATGTAAAAATGCCTTTTAATTCAATGGCCCAAATCCTATTGCTTAGTATATTTAAATGCACTAGAGCAGGCCCACTGAATCAATGATGATTTCATGAGTCAACATGGGTTCAATTGATTCAAACAAGCCTACTTGGACTACAACTTACCATGCTAAATTAGGTTGCAGTTAGTGTGGGCCCATTTGAATCAAGGAAACTTACGGAAGAGTTGACTTCCCCATTGATTTAGAGAGCCAATTCTTACGTGATTTACTATGCTAAGCAACAGGATTTGGGCCAATGTATCTGGGATAGGGGAGACAGGCAAAGTGGTATCCTTGTCATCTTGTTGGCGAGCAGCTCCCATTGTCGAGTGCCAGCATAGCCAACGGTTGCAGTCCAATGACATCTGGAGGGTGGCACCAGATATTTGGGAGTAGTAAAGGGACTTCCATTTAGAACAGTGGTTTCCAACTTTAGATCTGCAGATGTTTTTGACCTTCAGCTCCAAGATGTTCTTGTCAGCGTGCCCAGTGTTTGGTGGTTCTCAGAGTTTAGGTCAACAACATCTGGAAGCACAAGGTTGGGAACTACTAGTTTAATGGATCACTCCTAAGGCAGCTTGGGGGCAAAATCAAAGAAATTGGTTGATCTCCTGTTTAACTTGTGTTTCATTTAAGGATGTAGATCGCTCCAACAACAGTGGCATGTTGTATTTTCAAAAGAAGGATTAGCCACTGTTTTCTTGTCCCAGCAATTTCTGTGACAGTGCCAGGTGTAAGCCTGGACTATTGGAACATCTGGCAGAGGCTAATTTCCAGGCAAATGCTGTTAGCAGCTGTTTGTATTGGTTAGGGATGATGGGAACCCAATACATTTGCAAGGCACGTAGATGACTCACTTCTGAAGCAGAGGAACAGTGCACCCCTGCCTAGTCCAAAAACCATATCTGGGAGAACACCAGGTTGAGGGAAGCTAGTGTGTATGACTGAGCCCTAAACAACACTTCAATTTCGAAACAGAAAACACTAAGCCATAAAGAAAATAAATTTGTCTGTCAAGAAATATGTGAATTGTCTTTGACTAGATTTGTGTATTAAAACAGATGCAAGTTAATTTTATTCTTTGACTAAATTGCTATATTCTTTGACTGAAAGGTACATTTTAGCCATTTCTGTTGGACTGAAGAGATTTACCATTTAATAAAGGAAAGTTGCAATTTGTATGAGAAGAACATGCACCCTCTAGTACGGAATGTTTTCTGTTGCAGAACATGCTTTCTAGAAACAATGGGGGAAATCTTTGTTAATCTCGACAAAGTTTCAATGCAGCACCAGCTGCTTTAGCTGCGTACAAGGTCTTGTTCTTAGAGAGAGCCACTGTGGCTTCTGCAATTTGATCTCTGAAAAGAAGAAAAATCTGGCACCATTATAGTGCCATTCTACGCACACTCATATGGGGGTGACGTCCACTGGATACAGTAAGACTTGCTTGTTTGTAAACATGCATGGAATCGGCATACATGGCTTATTGTTGTTGTTTTCGGTCCATAGTTCAAGTGTAGAAAATATTTTTGAGCCACAGGGTTGAATTCAGGTTCTGAAGAATTGAGAGGGGCAACTTTCCAGTGACGGATGGGATAAGAAATGCCCACCTGCTCTTGTTTCCAGTAGCTAAGAACTTTAGAATGGAGAAGAACCTACAAAAGCCGCCGAAGGATGGTGTCGTGAGAAAGGAAAGATGGCCATTTGCTGCACCACAGGAGGGTGGTTTCCCCGCCCTTGCAGTAGGAATTAGTGGCACACTCCTAAATAGGTCTCCTCAGAAGCACTTGGAAGTAAATTCCATTGGCTTCCATGGGACTTAGTTTGTGTAAAGATTGCTGCCTGAGCAATCAGTATTGTGTTCATCTTTCGCCGTTGCAGTTGGAATTTCCTTGAGATCCAGAACCCAATAAATTCAGGCTATGGTAGGCGGGTGTCCAGATGTGGCTGGGTGGCCATTTCCACCCAGATAAGCCAATGGTGAGGGAGGTGAGGGAGCTGGGAATCCAACAGTAAGGCAAGGACCACCCCAGTCTTAAGAGGGATATGGACTTCATTACTCCAAAGTGTCTTGTGGCACTTCTAAGATTAACACCTTTTATTTGGCATGAGGTTTTGTCAATCATAATAATCCATTCAGATACAGGGAGTGTAGAGTTCATGTGGAGGTGTATGATCAAGGTTGTTGGGCTGGAGTGATGGATTACTGTGTTCCCTTTCACTCTGTCCCATCCCCATAGCTGTAACACCTACCTATAAATCAGAGGCTTGAATACTATGCTTTGTGCATCCGAAGAGGTGGAGTAAAATCCAGAACAGCTCATGCCAAATACGATTAATTTTAAAGGTCCCAGAGCACTCTTGTTTGGCTGCCTCCTAGACTTTATTAGTTATTTTAATTTGTCCTCTTCCATTGTAAGGTGCTTTAAACACATTGGAAAAGCACCATCACTGTTGTGTTATACAGTGGTGCCTCGCAAGACGAACGCCTCGCGGGATGAAAAAAACGCAAGATGAATGTTTTTTTTTCTGCTGTGGTGCCTCGCAAGATGGCTTCTTCTATGGCTGTGCTTCGCAAGATGATTCCCCCCCCGACCAATGCCGCTGCCTCCTAGACTTTATTAGTTATTTTAATTTGTCCTCTTCCATTGTAAGGTGCTTTAAACACATTGGAAAAGCACCATCACTGTTGTGTTATACAGTGGTGCCTCGCAAGATGAACGCCTCGCGGGATGAAAAAAACCGCAAGATGAATGGGTTTTTTTTTTCACTGTGGTGCCTCGAAAGATGGCTTCTTCTATGGCCGTGCTTCGCAAGATGATTCCCCTCCCAAGACCAATGCCTCGCAAGACGAAAAAATTTCATTCGTCTTGCGAGGTTCCCATAGGAATGCATTGCAATGCTTTCCTATGGGAAACTGCTTTTCACATGATGATTTTTTCGCAAGACAAAAACCCCGAAAGACAAATCTTTTTTGCGATTGCTGTGATGCCTCGCAAGACAGCTTCTTCTATGTCTGTGCTTCGCAAGCCTTTTTTTCCCCAAGACCAATGCCTCGCAAGACGAAAAAATTTCATTCGTCTTGTGAGGTTCCCATAGGAATGCATTACAATGCATTCCTATGGGAAGCCGCTTTTCGCAAGACGATTTTTTTGCAAGACAGCGCTTCTCGCGGAACAAATTACATTCGTCTTGCGAGGCACCACCGTATTATAACACATTACAATGTAGTCATGAAACAATTGAAGGACTTGTTCAGAAGTCATAGAATCATAGAAAAGTGAAGTTGGAAGGGGACTACAAGGCCATCAAGTCCAACCCCCTGCTCAGTGCAGGAATACAATCAAAGCAGATCTGCCAGGTGATTACATTTTTTCCTTGAATGTCTCCAGTGTTGGAGCACTCACCAAGTCCCGAGATCACTGGTTCCACTATTGTAGTACTCTGACCGTTTAGGCAGCCACAGCCAATCCACTGCCAATCCAAAACTCTCCGAGCAGTGCAGAATGTTGGAGCACTCACCAACTCCCGAGATCACTGGTTCCACTATTGTACTACTCTGACCGTTTAGGCAGCCGCAGCCAATCCACTGCCCTTCTGCTAGGTTTAAGCCTCACCTCTCCTAATCTGGAAGTGGTGTGTGACGACACCCTGGCTGTTCTAACAAGGCTACCTATAAAAATTCTAAATACATGCAGGAGAATTACTTGAGCCATGCTGAAGGACACTGTCAATATGTGTTTATTCAGGGCTTCTTCAACAAATCCAAAACTCTCTGAGCAGTGCAACCCCCAATCTTAATGCAACGAGGCCTTTATTTTTAGCAAATGCCATATTCCTTCCTTAGCATGACCCGGCAGATATTTATCGTCTTTCGGCTTGGACAGGTGGAGCCCTGTGGTTTTTATTAGTGCCTCTTGCTGGCTCCTATTTCATTTCCTGTCAAGGCTTACAACATTTTCCTCTAATGGGGATGACACAAGATGATACATTGCAGGCAGGAGGAGAACTTGGCAGGGGCTGAATTTTTGCCAGAGCTGGAAAAAAATCATTCTTTTTTGGTGGGGACAGGTTTACAGCTCTCAGAATCCCACAGCAAACATAGCCACACCTGGGAATCTGGCAGTCGGAGCCCCCCCCAAAAAAAAGTTTATTTCTTTAGGATGTGACCCTTGAGCAAGAGAGAAGGATAGGAATGGATATCTCAATCATTCCTTCTTCTTCTGTCCCCTGTTCCCAGTCAGTGTCTCTCCCCCTCCCCCTGCATCTACAGCACCATGGGTCAGATTAAACATTCTTGCATAACGCTGTGGGTGGGGAGGTCGTAATGTCTGCAAACATAGAACATTAGCCTCCACGGGGAATCACAAGTGCGGAGTGAATCATTCCCTCCTTCCCATGCGGGAAATCCCCAGGCTGTCTTCCAGTGTTCAGGCGCTGAGGGCCGTTGCTTCTCCAGTCATTGGTGTTTGTTTGTAAAATAAAAACACACACACTTACATACATATATACAGTGTTCAGGCGCTGAGGGCCGTTGCTTCTCCAGCCATTGGTGTTTGTTTGTAAAATAAACACACACAAACTTACATACATATATACATTTATTTTATTTAATATACACTATTCTGGGTGGTTTACAAGCAGCGAAAACCAATATAATAATACAATCCACAATGAATTGTATCAGACAACAAGAAACATACATACAGTACATACATACATACAGTACATACATACGTACATACATACATACATACATACATACATACATACATACATACATACATACATACATACATACATACATACCGTATTTCTCCATGTATAAGATGCTCCCATGTATAAGACGCCCCCACTTTTCTAATCCAACATTAAGAAATCTAAGTGGGGCTTAGCAAGTGCAGGAGGAAAGGGATCAAAGCGCTGCAGGATCGCTTTGATCCCTGCTTTCCCCTCCACTTGTTTTTGTTCTCTCCTCAGCTTACTTCCATGTATAAGATGACCCTCAATTTTTAGTCTAAAGATTTTAGAAAAAAAGTATAGTCTTATACATGGAAAATATGGTACGTACGTACGTACATACATACAAAGCCCCCTTTTGATAACCCAAGATTACTGCCTTTAGATGTGATTGAACTCCCATTAGATGCAGTCAACATGACCAGTAGACAAAGATTATAGACTTTTATTCCTGCATCATCTGGAGAACCACTGCTCTTTCCAGTCAACCTTGCTGATAAGTTCATAACACAGTTTTCAGAAACTGTTGTTCTTCAAGGTTCAGCTTGTTCATCAGTCAGAGGACCGCAATGGGCAAGTGGGTGAAGGAGGCTTCCCTTCCCCCCCACCAATATCTGCTGCAAAGCTTGGAAACATTAATTTTGTCTTCTTGGGGGAAAAAGAGTATTGGGTGGGGTGTTTTTGGAAGCTATTCTCCAAAAAAAGCAACATTTCCAAGCTCTGATGTGTAAAGAAATGCATAATGCATGCACCATACCCAATGCATCCGGCTGAAGTCTATTTTTGAACTAATAGTGCAATTGCTCCCCTATTCTCGGTCAAAGGTATATTGGTAAAATGGTAAAGAATCTGGAAGCAACACAATGGCAAGCCATGCTGTTATTGCACAGCTTCCCTCACCTGGTACCCTCCACGTTTGGGACTATAAACATCCCCAGGCCGCGTGGGGAGGGCTGTGATGCCCGTGGATATTGGAAACCCCCGTCCAACCTGTTGAATGGAGGCCTGTAGCCTCACTTAGTAGTAGGTCCCAGGGAAAGGCATGGGAGACTTGAACAGGAAACTAGAAAACCTATATCCCCCTCCCAAGCACCTTGCATTGTGGGTCCGGATACAAAAAGACAGGTCTGCTCCACTTTTAGTGGCTGTGTGGAAGAATTTTGGGTTGTGTCACTTCAGCTTGCTGTGCCTATGAACCTGGTAGAATTCCTTTCAATCACTCAGCAGACCTGCAGGTGCCCTGTCCTCCCTTTAGCCTCAGAGAAATACAATATATATATACCGTATTTTTCCCACAAAACAGGGGGGTGGAATGTCTGTGCATCTTATGGAGCGAAGAAAATAGATTATATTTTCCTGTTTTCTTCTCCTAAAAAATTGGTGCGTCTTATGGAAAGGTGCGTCTTATGGAGCGAAAAATACGGTATACCCTGTAATATGGTAACTGGATCCCCCATGAAGTTTCCTTTTATTTATATACAAGCTGACATATCTACATTTTCTTAGAGGCAATTGTTGGGCGTACGATATATAGTTCTTTTTCTGAGCTACAGAGAAGATCTCCTTAATTTCTCCTTTTTCCTTGGTGGGGGCGCAAGCATTGGATTTCAGTTAACCTTCTTCAGGAATGTGGTGCTCTCCTGTTCCAGCTGCATCTGATATTTAAGATGGTGCGTCATAAATCCCTTTGGAAGCTGTGGATCAAAATAGGTAGAGTGACTGCCCTTGCTATGCATTTGGCACCTGAGGGACTTCTAGAAGAAGTCACTTGCCATCTGCCTGAGATTTTCTTTTCTTTCATCTCCTTCTGCAAGGCATTCTTACTGGGATGAAGGCTTCTAGGACTTGTAATCTTAAAAAAAGTCACTTCCCAAGTCCTGCCATTTGTCTACTCATCTACTCTGTGCTGACCAACGGCGGCTCTCTCCAGGGTCTCGGGCGGAAGGAGGTTTTTTCCCACCCCATCACCTGTTACCCAAATAGATGAAATGGAGACGCTTGAATTTGGGACACGATTTGTAATACATGTGATCTGCAACTCAGCTTTGGTCTGTCCCCCACTTTGCATGGAAGTGTCCTTTCGGGCTGGTTCTATTTTGGGCAAGCTTGTGCCCTTCTAGTAGAATGGCTTCAGGGAGCGTGCGTCCAAAGTTTACATCAGCCGCCATTTTGGAAGTGCTTCTCTACTGGTGCTACTCTAGTGGGGGAGGGAGAGAAGGCACCCCGAGCCACCAAGATAGGCTGTAGTTTTTAAAAAGTTGTCTGAAAAAAGGTGGCAGTTTCTGAAGCGCTACTGTTTGTTCAGCCTGGAGGCAGGCAGCACATCACGGCCTCTCCCAATTTGAAGAGACCCTTGTCCAGCAGGCTGAGGCAAAGAGGAAGTCACAAAGGAAGCAAAACCAGGGAGTTGGACAGGGGACAGATTGGATTTGTCTTCAGTGTGGAAGAGATTGTAACTCTCGAATTGGCCTCCTCAGCCACAGCACGCTACCATAGTCTTTCGAGACTGAAGGATGCCTACTGTTTGTCCCATTGTCAATGATACTATGGTGAGATGGAGGACTGGTACAAAATCTCTCTCTTATTCTAATCTCTCTCTTTCTCTCTCTCCTTTATTTGAAACAGGAAAAAGCATCTCACCATGCCAGTCATGAGCACCTTGTGAATGAGATTGGTGAGTTACCTGCTAATTAGCCATAGTGTTCCACCAGATTGTTACAATCGGACTCGTTTTGTTCATTTGTACCTCCAGGCTCTTGTCCTGGTGGCCCTACGGAAAACATTCCGGATCTTGGATTTGACTTGTAGAGGAACCTAAGCCTGTGATTCTCAACCTTTGGCCCTCCACATGTTTTGACTCCCAGAATCCTGGACTGTTAGCGATGCCTATAAAAGCAGAAGTTCCAAACATCCGATACACAGAGACTGACTGGCCTAAACAATATTTGCCTTTCCACATGTGATTGAAGACTTTGTTTACTAAATCCCATTACAACATTTGGGGGGTTGGCAGTAGTATCAGAGCACTGTTATCTTGTGGTTTCAGTCCTTTGATGATGATCTGAGCAGACTGCCTCCTTTGTAAAGGAATCACAACCACACTTGTAAGACAGTAAGAACACTTGTGGGGTTTTTAGAGAAGTGCACTTGTGCTGCAAGTTCAGAAGACCTGCAGTCGTAAGATGGAATCTGCACAACGGAGGGAGCTCCCGGTGCTTGTCCCAGCTCCTGCCAACCTAGCAGTTCGAAAGCATGTAAAAATACGAAATTTGATTCTTTTTGTTCAATTGGCAGGGGGGAGTTTCTTTTGCACCAGTTCAGCTGGCACTGCTTTTTCCATTTTTTGGCATATGTGATCACCTACCTTGATACAAAAGGTGGTAGCAGTTGTTCCCTATAATAATATGATGTCTTCAGCGGTCATGGTCTTGACAGCAGGATAAAAACTCCTGAGTGCCTGTTTTCTCCCTTTTCTGAATAACTTTTCTATACAGTATCCACAGTGGGTATCCACAGTGGGTTGGTTCCAAGCCCCCTCGTGGATGTAAAAAAATTTGGAAATATCAAACGCAATACAGTGCATGGTCTCTGGTTCCCTCTAGTAGTCAGTTCTGGTAAATACAGCATGGAAATACACCATGAGTTTTTATATAGTATTTTCAGACAACAGATAAGTGCATACCAATCCAGTTGATGTGGAAGCTTTTATATATATGCTTGCCAAATATAGCACTATATCAGATAAGTTGTATGTTACTTCTGGGGGGAAAGGATGAAGAGAAGGGGTGGGGAAGAAGCCGGTATTAACAGGTTGAAGCTGTGATTCTAGTGGATATTGGACCAGCTGAGAAGTGCATCAAAGTGATGTCCAAACTGAACTAACTAACTAAAGCAACATCTTTAAATGGCACATACAGGCAGTGAAATAAAGCACCAGTGCCTTTTTATAAAAATAGTTGTTTCTGAAATATGTAAAGACTGTCAGCTGGATCACAATCTACTCAACTTACAATTATGTTGTTGTCAATCTTATTGCTTTTTGAAAAGTAAGCAATGATACAGCCGGGCAGATCTCCACAGAGCGCAGTCTCCTTAATCCTCGTGCCACTGTGGAAAAGGCCCTGTTTTCTTTTTTGCACCCAAGAGATATTTGATAGTAGTAGAACAGAACTGTGTTGTAGATGCCAGTTTCAGTGTGTTCATATGATAACATATCAGGCCAGTTTCCTGTCCTGAAACGATTAAGCAAAAGTTCAAGGTTGCAACACGGAGTTTTGCAACTGTGGGGGAAGATGCTCTTTGTTTTGCCACAAATACCGACATTTCTCGGGCCCGTTTCTGCTTATCTCTGCTAGAAATGTATCCCTTGGGTTTTTTCAGACAATTACAAAAAAATCAGCAGGGCCTGCATGTATTATATCTCCTGATTTCAGTCTGTAGAACATTGCACACCGCATCCCATTCTTAGTCACTTCCAGTTCTGCTTTAGCCCACAATTGACTTGCTTTCTCATACGAAAATATGGAAATGTTGTAAAAGACATGAATTTTCCCACAATCTCCGTGGACCGAAGTCTTCATAGAATCATAGAATAATTAGAAGTCTTCATAGAATCATAGAATAATTAAGCTGGAAGGGAACTATGAGGCCACTGAGTCAAACCCCCTGCTCAATGCTGGCATCCAAATCAAAGCAGATATGAAATATAGTAGTCCCAATTTCCTCTTGAAAGCCTCCAACGCTGAAGTGCTCATCACCTCACAAGGTAATTTGTTCCATTGTTGTACTGCTCTAACAGTTAAGAATTTTCTCCTGATATTCAGCCTAAATCTGGCTTCCTGTAACTTGAGCCCTTTATTATGTGTCCTGAACTCTGGCATGAGCAAGAACAGGTTCTGCCTTCTCCCCTGTATGTATTTGAAAGCTATACTGTATTTGAAAACTCCCAGCATATCTCCCCCAACCTTTTCTCAAGGCTAAACATGCCCGTTTCACTATAAAGAGAATGGAGCTTGGGGGTAATTGCATGCTGGTGGCCCCAAGTTCAGTCCATGGGCATCACTAGTTAAAGCAGTCAAGTTGAGTATGATAATAAAGACCTCTGACGGATACTGGAGAGCAGCTGTTAGACAGTTTAGACTGTACTGAGCTGGATGGAGAAATAGTCTTCCTCTCACCGGTGAGGAGGCAGCATCATAGGTCCCACCTCTCTTCTTGAAAAACTCTCAGTGGGCGCCCAACAGAGGAGGCAGGGCAGGGAAAGGCCAAACCCCTGCTCGCCCAAGAAACGAACCGGCACAAACTGCTGGTTCGTGCCCATCTCTAGTCGTTACATAAGAACAAGACTACAATGGAGGCACCATTGTGTGCATAGTCCCTGTTTTAAAATGTGCATGCATGCAATATGACGCAAGGAAATGGGCTCAGAAGGTGGGACTGGCTGCCCTTCGCCACTGCACGTGCAGATCGATCCAGTTTGTTGCTTATTCATATACGGTATATTTTTCCACCTACCTTTGCAGAACAAGCTGTGCAAGAGGCGGTGGAGACCGATGTGCACGTGAGGAGACGACCACAACCACCGCAACAGCCACTGCCCGATGTTCACCTGTGAAGGAGGTCAACGGAAAAGGCAAAAATCTGATTTTAGGGATAGAGAATAAGAAGAAACTTACTGGTTGAATCTAAAGGCTTGTCTAAGGCTTCTAGTCCAACATCTGGTTTATAATGTTCATAGATGTTCCTAGGAAACACTCAAAGGAAATCGTGAAAGTCATTGGCCTGCTGTTTTTCACAGTAACTGGGATACAGTTTGAGAATGTGGAGTTTCACCTTAGAGGTGGTGGTGGAAGGAATAGGCAGGAATATCAGATGACGTAGGAGAGGCTTTGGATATTCAAAAGCAGGTTTACCACCATATCGACAGATGTCTGTTTGAAGGGGTATCTGTCCAAATTCATGCTAGCAATTAAAAAAATGCACACAATAATGGAGATGAAGAGCTTTTTTAAATTAACACCTTCAGTGCCACAGTCTGAGTGTATACACAAACACATACACAGAGAGAGAGAGAGAGAGAGAGAGAATGGTCACTCAATCACAGTCTTCCTCATTATGGTGAGACTGAAGTACAGATAACCAAAGCAAATCATGCACATCTCCCTTTGGCTCCTTTGCTATGCTAGAAATAGAACTTCCACAGGACTTTGGACGATTGTATGGGCAATGTTTCCCCACATCAGGGGGCGGTTTGTGCATCTGAACTGAGGAGAGAAGGGACATGAACTATAGCGGAGCCATGATGGAAAGCAGGAAGCACAGAGTATGGAGGGGCACTGTTAAGGGAGCAAACATGCAAGACCAGACAGTGTTGTGTAGCAGTTAGAGTGTCTGATGGACTCTCTTTGTTTTTCCATTGCAGGTCTGAAATGACTGATAACTTCTAGATAGGACATTTGGTGAGTATGTTCCCAGCTTTTATTTGTTGGCTCCAGATTAATTATCTCACTTGCATACTCACAAAAGGTTCAAAGTCCCTCTCAGAAGTACCTGAGTCAGGTCTGTCCTGAGGGACCATTTTGGCGGGGGCTGGATCAGGCCACAAAGGGTCAGTTGAGGTCAGAGTGGGAATCAATGTACCCTTTGGCACGCTCGTCCCTTTGTGTCCATTAAATTTTATATACTATTTTTCCTTGCCTGTCTGTGTATTGCCAATGGAGAAACTGCCCACAGCTGCAGTTTTGATTGGCCATACACAGACAGGCAAATGATTGTTTAAAAATTTTTAATCAAAGTGGTTTATCGCAGCAGCGACACTCCAGCAGGCACGATAAAAATAATTTCACTTCCCTTTACCCTCAGCAGATGATCAGGGGAAGGGTTCAGTTTCTGATATCTTGAAGGAGCTGATGATGCCTGAAATTGATGCTGGAAGGACATGCAAGGGAAGTTTAATCCAAGCGACCACACTTCCTAGAAATGGACTAAAGTGGAACCCTCCAACCCACACCGAAAGAGTAGAACCTCCTGATAGGGGTTCAAAAAGGTGCAAGTGGGAGCAAATTGGTCTGCTCCAGCAATGTCCACATGGTGGAGGCTGGAAAAAAGAGTGGACCGACCCTCTGCCCCCCCAAACAGCAGGGAAAAATGCTGGTGTGGACAAGTTATCCTTTTTTAATTTCCTGGTGTCTCCTCTGTCAATAGCAGGGAAGGGCTTATATCAGGGATCTGGGGTCCCTGCCATAAGAAATAACAAAGGGGAAGGAAATGGGCTTCCCATTGATGACCAAAGTCACTCTATTCAAAGTACAATCACCCAAAGACTCCATATAAGGTTTCATAAGTTTTTCACCGAACATTTCCCCCTTACATGGAGGTCTGGACAAGTACTAGTAGACTGTGTTTCGGTTTAAAATACAGTGGTGCCTCGCTAGCCGATAATCCATTACACTGAAATCGCTGTCTAGCAAAATAATTGTCTAGCGAAAAGCAAATCATTGTCTAGCGAAAATCAGTTTGTGAAGCAGGGACCAAACATTGTCCAGCGAAATTCCCCCAAAGGAACCACTGTTTTGCGAATCGCTATAGCGATCGCAAAAAGTCAATGTCTAGCGAAAAAACTGTCATGCGGGGTAACTGTCTAGCGAGGCACCACTGTATTGTTTTTTTTATTATAAGTTGATTGGTCTAATAGCCTAACAATCTTAGCCAAGCAATGCTAGAGGCTCCCTGCCTACTTAACAGCCAAGACTTCTTTGGGAAAAGCTTGAAGAAGAAGACTACAGTGCTGTTAGTGAGTTCGTATTTGGAAAAACAGCAGCTACTGTTGCCCTCCAGGATATTTTTGCCTCAGAGGATTGCCTCATTCCATTTATTGGTGCTGCCATCCCTGTGTGGGAGGATGGTATTTATGGGGGATGCTTCAGCCCCAGATATGGCTCTGGCTGCATCCAGGATGATTCAACCGCAAGAAATGTCCAAAATATTCAGCACGCCCTCTGTCGTTTTGGTCCGACTCTCCTGATTGCATCTTCTGCTTCTTTCTCCCACAGCTTCAGCCCCCCGTTGTAGGCCAGCTACGCCTTTGCTTAAAGGAAGAGACTTTCGGATAAAGAAAAGGAACAGGATAAGCTCCCCTCTGCTTGTCCAGGTTTCCGGCAAACCTCATCCCAATGCAAACCTCTGCTTCCGACAGGTTTTTGCTGAAAGGCAAATATTCTTCTCTGCCCCCTTCTAGTCCTTAACTGAACACCTTTCCCCTCTCTGTGGTTTACAGCTGCAGGCTTTGCCTTCTCCCGACCGACTCCACAGCCACCGGTTTCCTTGGCCATGATCCAGACAGGGTGGCCACTTCAAACACATCGCTTCAAAAGAGGAGACAGAGTGGCATAGAATTGCAGGATGTTAGTTTTATATTCAACACGAAATTAGAAATTGTTTTTACAGTTGAGACCTCATTGCAGTGGGTCTCACGTGAGTTGGGAAAACTCCACACCGCCTGCATGCCTTCGCCTGAGTCTGCTGTTGAGGTCCTGTTTCCTGCGGGCGATGGGCAACTTCAAGGCCTCCCTTCCTGGAAACAGGCTTCTGGCTAGACAGCTCTATCCAAAGAGGGCAGCTTCAAAAAGAGGCCTGTCCTCTGGCAGCTATTGAAACGGAAGAGTCTCCTCCACGAACAAGGAAATGCTTCCTTGAGATGTTCCTGCTAGGCCCCTGTGGCTATCGCACAATTACTGGAAAAAAAGGTGCTATCAGATCTGCTTTGCACTCAGCTGGCCTTGCGTCCGGCGGACTTTGCCACTAGACTGCTTTGTTTTGCCGAAGCTCAGCAGGATTTTTGCTGTCTCTCAAACTTTTTGAAGTTCTTTTTCCTTCCTGCGCTGATTAAAATATATATATATATCTGTAGCAAGCAAAGAGTTGTGTGTGGTTTCACTCTCTTCATAATTTTGTACAGTGCGTAAATGGTACCCATACATGCAAAGAAGAAAGTGGGGGGGGGAGTAGGATCCTAGTGATTTCTGCAGGCTAAATTTATATAAATAGGACCCTCTTATCCACTAACTAGTGATTTCTGCAGGCTAAATTTATATACAGTAGGTCCCTCTTATCCACTGAATCAGTATCTGCTGATTCACTTATCCACAGTTAGCAAATGATTAAAAATATTAGTCCTAGAAAAAAAATATTTATTTCTAGGATTAATTTTTAAAATCATTTATCTGCTGATTCACTTATCCACAGTTTGCAAATGATAAAAAATATTAATCCTAGAAAAAATATTTATTTATTTCTAGGATTAATTTGTAAATCATTTTCAAACTGTGGATAAGCGAATCAGTGGATACTGATATATATGTATAATTTAAGAATCTGAAAAATTCTTATATGTATATATTTAATATTTCAGAATCCACAGGGTGCTTGGAACTGATCCCCTGTGGATACAGGGATCCGACTGTATCTAATTATGTGTTGTTTTTTTACAACGATTGAGAAAATGTTGAAGAACATTGCTGGCCAGCTTTGTCCGTCTTCTCTCACCATCAGATAAACTGGCAAGGGATACGGGACTTGCCATTTGACAACCTAGGAGTCCCACACTTTCCATCACCATACTTCCAAGGGAGTGTTATGAAATATTAAACCGCAATGGAACAGTATTTCTCAACCTTCTCTAACCTCTGCTCCCTTTGGATCGCCATGAAAACCAGACTTTGCACGCCGAAGGTAAAAACTCTTTCAGAAGTAGAGAAGGCGAGCGGAAAGGGTTGGGAATACTGCCTTGTGCGTTGATGGATTTTTGTGGCCTGCTGAAGTCTGACCCATAAATGCTCTTAAAATACATTTGTTTACCACATCAGTCTGGTCTTAAATATATGTAACATGGGATTGGAGCCTGCTTGCCACTGCCGTTGGCTCACATGCCTTACGGTGAGTGGGTTGGGCTTCCTCGTCACCTCAGGCAGCCAAATCTCTTGGGCAGGTCCCGGAGAAACAGATGGAGAAACACATGGCTGACAGAATTTTAAAAAAAATAATATTATTATTGCTATCACAATAAATAACATTCAATGAATAAAACTGCATATCCACAAACAACCCCCACAGGATGAGATCAAAAGGATTTCAGAGACGTTATTCAGCTTGTTATGATCAGTTGAGTAAATCTTTCCGTACGTCAGCCTGTGAAGGATGCACAAACAACCCCCACAGGATGAGATCAAAGGATTTAAGAGACGTTGTTCAGCTTGTTATGATCAATTGAGTAAATCTTTCCATACGTCAGCCTGTGAAGGACAAGAAGAAAGGGCACAGAGAACAGTCACGAAAGAGTTTGTTACATTTCTGTTGAAATAAAGAGTTAAGAGAACAGGGACGAATAGGACCAAATTTCTGGGACATTAAGAATATGTAAGATGTTGTGAATCCTTGGCAGATACTGCCAAGACGGGAGATGACACACGTTGCCAGTTACCGCCACTGTCACCACCCGCTCTCCGATTTAACAATCCAGTCTTTCACAAGACTGGCATGTGCTTCCATTTTAAGGCAAAGGGGTTTCCCCAAAATGGCCATTTACTGGATTTCATGTGATCTAATCGCCGACAGAAGCTGGTGGCGGGTGTTGGGTGGGGCGGGGAAATTGAGGCAAATCCATTTTACCCATGTCGAACGAGATTGCATTTATTTTCTGTGTTGGAAGTTTATTTGCTCGTTTCCCAGGCAGACGGAAAAGGCGCTCCCTTTATGCCACCAACATATCCAGCCTTTTTATCATGTCTAAATTCTCGGTTCTTCTCCGTGGCCTCCGTGAATCACATATAGGGGTTACTCAAGGGGTGCAAATTCTGTGCTCCCAAAATGCACAAGAATGGATGGTTTGCATACACTGTTTGAAGAGGCCTTTAGAAATATATCCCGTTACCCCTTTGACATCCTCATGGACCCATGATTATTGATTTTGATTTGTCATCCAGATTTCCTTCTCTCTTTTTTGGACATTTTGGATTTTTAAGTTTTTTTTTTCAGTTCCCTTTCTTTATGTCCTTGGGGGTGGGACTGGGTGGTTGTGTTTTAACTGTTGTTAGCCACGCAGAGTAGAGCCTCGACACTAGATGAGTGGGATATAAATGTAACATATTTTTGCAATTTGCGATGTACAGGGCAAATCAGAACAGGATGGGCTTGCATGACCAAAGTGGTCCTCCAGCAACTTGTCCGGGTCATCAATGGGGAGAAGGACATGTATTTATGCAAGCATTAACATTTATGCCCTGGAGAAGGAGGCCATTCACGCTATTCAGCCTGCCTCAGAGGAAGGGTGGGGAGAAAAATTATAAATGAACTCATTGATGGGGGGGGGGTAACATTAGTCATCAGTTCTTAGCCGATCCCACCTCACTGGGTTGTGAGTACAATCTTAAAGCTGGAAGGGACGAAGCAGGCAAGCTGACCTTAACTCTTTGCACAAGTGTACATGATGAACATGGGATGAACATGCATTTCTTCATCTCGTCCTGATCTACCTCCAAGGGGCTCAAAGTGGTGCACAATGTTCTGCACCCCCCTCCCCCAAACTTTCTTCTCACATCGACCAAACGAGGTAGATCAGGCTGAAAGTCATGGGTCCAAAGAGACCCTGTAAGCATCATGGCTCAATGCCGTCTTGATCTTCCACGCCCAGCTAAGGTCTAGAAAATAAAGTAGGTCCCCCCATATCCACAGAATCCGTATCTGCTGATTAACTTATCCATGGTGTGAAAATACTGAAAATAAGATACCAGAGCTGGACACTAGAGGGAGACAAGAGACCTTGCTATGTGCAGAGCGCTTTGTAATAGCGTTTGCTATAATCCGCATTTGTCAGCATCTGCGGTGGGGGGGGATCCGAGGTCCTCCTGTACACAAAAGGAGAAAGAGTCAGTAAACCAATGGGGGCTTTACGTACATCAGATCGTTTCCGACCATTCATAAATGACAACCCGTGCTTTCCATCTCTAAGGGTTCGAATCCCCGCTCAGCCACGGAAAGGCGCTGGGACGCGTTAAACCCCTCCTCAGATCGCTCTTACCTTGAAAGCCCGCTTAGGGTCGCCAGAAGTCGGTTCATGACACAGAACAAAGTGTGCAATAGTTTGCATCCCCTGAAAATAGGTCACTACGGCTTTAAAGCCAATTTTTTTTTTCCAAATCAATCCTTTCCAGATGAAGTTAATGAGGACCTGCCCTCGCCCCATCCCTGGCGGGGGGGCGAACTCGCGGATGGGCACCGAAATACGCAGCCGGGCATCCCCTGAAACGTCCACCCCTCCCCCTCCTCTTCCCTCCCCCCCTTTCCTTCCTCTCCGTCTTCCTCTTCCTCCATCGAGAAAGGAGACTTCAGGAAAAACCTCCACGTTTTTGCAGGACGGGTCTCGCCAAACCGACCAGAAACCGCGGCGGAGGGAGGAACCCCCCGAGTTGCGGGCTGAGGGTGGCCGCTCGGGCGCCTCCTCCGCCTCCCCCCCCTTTTCCGCCCGCCCAGGAGCGCCTCTCGCCGGCCAGAAGAGCCGCCGCCGGTTTCTCTCGGAAAACCAAATCAGGNNNCCCCCCCCCTTTCCCGCCCGCCCAGGAGCGCCTCTCGCCGGCCAGAAGAGCCACCGCCGTTTTCTCTCGGAAAACCAAATCAGGGAAGGAATCTATGGTGTGTGGCTCTTTTTTTTTTTTAAAGATAATTAAAAAACCTTGATCGGAATTTCCTTTCGACACCCCCCCCGAATGGACCGGATCGGCTGGCAGGGAGGGATGGATCGGGTCCTTCCTCCTCCTTCTCCGAGAGGTGAGTGCAATCTCTCTGAACTTTCCGGGATAGCCGCCTTTTGAAAGCTTCTGCTGTGTTAAAAAAACAAAAACTTTTCCCAACTCAAGGTGGCCAGCCTGGGGTTGGTCTTCGGTTTTTCCAACTTTCCGTTGATCTTCCAGCCAAAGGTTTTCTCTCCTTCGATGCACGTCCTGTTTGACGCCTCTTAGAAAATGCGCCCCTTTTTTTATCGTTCTCCTCCTCTCGTCCGCCCCTCCGTTGCCTCCGGGGAGCGAAGCCCAAAAGCGGGGGGGGAGTGTTTCAACACAAGGTTTGGGGGAAAAAAGTTGCCTGGGGGGAACTACAACCCCCCCAGAGCCACCCCATCCCCCGCTAGGATGGCCAGGCTGGCTGGGGAATTCTGGGAGATGTAGTCCCAAAAAAGGGGAATCCATCTGAGCTCTCTCTGTTCCAAGCTCTGCACTTTGGGGTGTGTGTGTGTGTCCTTATCGCAAACCCATCCTGGCCTGAAGGTTGCTTCTGTTCCCTGTCCATCCCCGGATAGCTGTAGGGATGGTTGCACATCGCACACTGTACATCATTGTGAGGTGTGGAAAGTTGCTTCACAAGTTGATGACTTCCTATAAAGAAAAATTCAGCAGCAACTAAGGCTGGTCACCTTAGTTCATTATCCTACCGTTGTTATTTACGACAGAGGTTCTTACATCCTTTACAGCAGTGGTTCCCCAACCTTGGGCCTCCAGATGTTTTTGGACTACAACTCCCAGAAGCCTTCACCCCCACCTC